TAAAAAAAAATGTCTTAATAAAAATTGAAATTCGTGAGAGTATATATATATATATATATATATATATATATATATATATATATATCTATTTGTATGTATGTATGTACATTTAACATTAAAATTACTTCTAACGTGAAAGTAAGTTCTGCAATGAAATAAAAATCAAATATTTTAAATTTATATTGTTTTATTTTCAGAAAATAACTAGATATACGATTGAAGAATAGATTATTTTAAGTATCCCAAAAAACGTATTTTAATGAGTCCGATACTGAGTAGTATCGATACTTTTTCCCTGATACTTTTAGGGTATCGATACCATGAGCTCGATGCCAGAATGAGTACTCAGTATCGATACCAAAGTCTGAAATTTCGAACCCTAGGGACGTTAAAAATCTAATAACCAAAAAGGAGCAGATTAAACATCACAGAACGGGGAGATTTGTGGTTATTCCTTACAAAACTTAAACCAAATATTGATAATTTGCTGTGAATACATCAAATACTTCCCTCCCATTAAAATTATGCTTATTTTTTTAATTGTTGATTTGAATTGTTTAAGGCGCGTTGCGTTATTAATGTTTAATTTTAATTCTATGAAGTCTGTTATGATATTATTTTAATAAATAGAACACAAGAATATACACTATTTTGATAGTTACTACTTCGAATTTAGAATTGGAGCACAGCCGCAAGGAAAATTTCCATCGTTAGATCTATTCTTCACATTTTTTACGAATTTTAGGCGAGACCGATAAAATACAAGATTGTGCTGATTGATGTGAAATTCGGGAGTAACGTGAATATAACGTCAACGCAGATGAGAGAGGTGGAGAAAGCTGAGATAGATCTATATGTACATATGTGCATATTATACAGGCAATACACAAAATCAGCTATGACGTCACATTTCTGTCAAAATTTTCAAGAGAGAGTTAGCGGTATCACAATCAGCGCCACCTTCATATTCACCATGTATTCGTTTCACCATGAGTTTTGGGAATATGGTAGAAATGTAGCAGGGTATCCACTGAAACCAAAATAATTTTTGAAAGGGGTAGACGAGGAAAAAGTCAGGGAACCTCTGGTTTAAATGGATAGCCTAATTAATTTCGACACCCACATGCATGTAAGTCAAACCAATAATAGTTGTGTTTGTTTACCCATTTTCAGTAAAATCCAGTAAAAATTGTTACAAATTTTCATGTTTTGGCCTTTTCGAACGCAAAAACTTGCAAAGTAGGGAAAATAAGAGAGCGAAAACTATAGCTTAAGTTGCAAGTTTTTACAGTCGGCTATTCTAGCCGACAGTTCAAACTGCATTCTACTGCGGAGAAAACCAAACGTTGAGTGACCAGAAGGCTGCACTACCTGCCACCACCAAGTGCGCCTCTTTTTTTCACCAGCAGTAAGGTTAGGGTAGCCATCGGGGAGGCAAAAGCCTCCAAAGCTATCGGACCCGAAGGAATTTTCATATTGATGCTAAAAAAAATTGGCTCTTGCGGGAGTGGACTATCTAACCAAGGTCCTCAACCTGTCTGTAGTCACTCTCATCATTCCAGACATCTGGAAAATGGGAAGAGTGGTCCCACCGCTTAAATCGGGTAAACCGTCTAACAAAGGAGAGTCTTATCGCCCGATAACCCTCCTTTCATCGGTAGAGAAGACACTAGGGGTCCTTCTACACCCTCGCGATACAATCCACCTGACCCCAGCGAAGCATCAGCCTGGGTTACGTAAAGTGCACAGCACAATAACAGCACTTAACGCCATAAACACTCAGATAACTCGTGGCCTTGACCGAAAACGCCCCTGTCCTATCCCCCCCAATGGTTTAATTATTTTTCAAAGCTCCCTCAACCACCAGAGGGAGTCACTATAGTCACTTATGCTGACGATTGCTCGATAATGGCGTCTGGGAATGGAATTGATGATTTGTGCTCGCCGAGCTTTCTCGCTTCTTCATTGCAAGGAGCCTTACCCTCTCCCCTAAAAAATCGTGGGCAACTTTATTCACCACTTGAACGAAGGAGGTCAGACTGCAGCTGGGTATTCACATCGATGGCGAACCAATACCACCGGTGAATAATTCAAAAATCCTCGGAGTCCCCTTCCACGGTCTTCTCTCCTTCTCGGCGCATACAACCGCAATTGTCAACAGAGTACAGAGCCGCAACATTGTCCTCAAGTCGTTGGCCGGCTGCACTTGGGGCAAAGACAAAGAAACGTTATTACGTTTGTTCCACACGCCTTTCGGGTTGTTTCGGTAATTAGAGTGTAAAAATAAGTTACTCTCTCACAAGTGCCAAAATGTGTCTATTGCAAGGAGTCTTACCCTCTCCCCTACAAAATCCTGGGTATTTTATTCACCACCTGGACGAAGGTCAGACTGGGTAGTGATAGCACGATATACGAGTACCGAGTGCAGAATATCGATACTTTTCATGAGTACAGTACGAGTAAAGATCGAGAATACTAAAAAGTATCGACGAGCTAAAAACTTTTCGAAATAAAGCCTTTGTAAGCATTAAGTCGGCCGCTGTGGCGTAGTGGTAATCGTGGTCAAAGCAACATCGCAAAAAATATAGAAAAAGGTTTTTCTTAACAGCGGTCGTCCCTCGACAGGCAATGGCAAACCTTCGAGTGTATTTCTGCTAGGGTTGCCAGATTTTGAAACGGCGAAAGGAGTGCATTTATATTTTCGATAGAAAAAAAGCAGTACATGACATAAAAAAGGAGTACAATTTTTTTTTAATTTTTTGTGCAATTTATTGTTACAAATTACCATTAATTAGGTGCAAATAAACAAAGATATCTTAGAAATCTTTTTCAAAGCAACAATAAATGTGAAAAATAAATAACTATATGGGTTGGCTTTCCAATAGGGATGGTTGTTAAAGAGATGGTCATCGAAGGGGGAGTGGACGTGGCACCTTTTCCGACCTTTTTGGAGAGGGCATGAACCGCCATTGATAAAAATGTTACTCCCGACCACCTAGGGCCCCTATGGGTCCCCAGGGGCCCCTTAGAAAAATTGCCAAAAGTCACAATTTTCACTTGCGTCCACAGTATTTTTGCGTAGAATTCGGTTCTCAATGACCGCCCATATAGGAAAGTTTCCCCAAATAAAAACTAAAAACTACCAAAGAATTCCAGACTCTTCCTGAATGTATGGTCATTTTTTTAATTTAAGCCTTATAATTAATTTAATATTATTCTGATTTTTATACCCGAGCGCCCTGCCCCTAAGGCCATGCTTACACCTTTTCACTATCACACTTAACTTTGCTTACTAAGTAGTGTTTGCCACAATATGAATGGCAAAGTACAGCGCGTAAAATAATAATTGTCGCACAGGTTTTTTGAAAAATAAAAGGGTTCTTTATAGATTTTGTGTTTTTTTGTTAACTTTGTAAATATTTTACTCTAATTTTATTAATTGGTTTTAATATTTTAATCCTGATTTGCATTTGCCAGCTTTGGGAGATAAGTACATGCGGCATGAACCTCTTTTTCAGGTGTATTTTTTCTTAAATTTTG